GGACAGTTGGATAAGGAGCATCCGCGTTTGTTTGTTCCTCGCGATCAGATAGCAAAAAGTCGATTTCTACACAGCAATTTGCCTTCAGATCATCATCTCCAGCAGGCAACGTGGCACTACATCATTTAACCGCCGACTGTCAAGTTACATTGTCGAGAGATGCTGAAGATGTACTCGGCCATTTTCGGCTTGCCCATTTTATAATTTTGGGGAATGACTTTGCTAATTCTTTTGTCCCTGGTTTAATTCCTCTCTTTAAAAGGGGGGCAAACAGGTAAAGCCTGAGTTTAAAAATATCAGTCCAGTATTTCGGGAACAAATTATTTTTTCAGAAAAATACAGGCAACCCAAGAATATTTAATATCTAATCCCTTCTTTTCGTCCAAAAGGTATGTCTATCCTAACAAGGTCGTGGTGTAGCGTAACGTAATACTATAGTATGTCACATACACAGTTTGAAATAGAGTTACGTTTCTGTATGTAAAATGATCACAAATACTAACTCAATAACCAGATATCGATTAACCCTTTAGTGTCTTTTATCTTGTTACGTTAGAAGGTTCCTTCACACGAACAGCTGTATTGTAACCAAAGAGCTGTGAAAAGAGCCCCAGTGTATCCCCGGTATCTATACCCTATCGATACATTGAGTGACTATTTCAGGATGTTTATTAATGATGCGTTGACATTTCCTTTCATCGATTGAAAAAATACTCGTTAGGAGAGCTCTGTGGCCAAACGTGTCGCAGAGACGATATTAAATAAGCGATGACAATGCCACCATCAGCCATATTCACACCGTCGGCTTTCACAAGGGAGTGAGTGAGTGAGTTGGGTTTAACGCCGCTTTTAACAGTATTCAAGTTATATCGCGGCGTGTCAGCTTAATATGGGAGGAAAGCCCGAAGTGATGCAGGTCTCAGACGTTTACCACTTCGGTGAAACCCACGAGCGCGGGTATTGTGCTGACAAACCTAGAAACATAATCGGGGCGAACCGGGATTCGAACACACAATCATAGGTTTCTGGCGTGCCCAAGGGACGCAACTCTGCACAGCGAATCACGGCGCCTTAGACGAGTGGGACACCCGTGCCCCCCTTTCACAAGGGAGATTCTGTTGAAGAACATGTCACACTGCCCGTGATGGGACCAGAAACCAATGTGGTGATCGGGTGAATACAATGGCTGCTGGGAATGGATATATGTGCTCATGCTACTGACCACTAGGCTTGTCCACACACGATAACACCTTGCATCAAGATATTTCTAAAACAAATTGTTCATTAAACTAAGCAAAAATAAGCGAAGTTTTTCTTAAAATCGTTTTGTTTAGTGGGAATTACGCACATATACAGTTACAATTGTGTCACGGCTTTAGGTTCTTTATATAATGTATCCTCATCAGGATTCGAACCCGGATCTAACCTTAATGATGAGCGAACACACTGTCTATTTGGCCACTAGGGGATGCATTACTTAGGGTTTACCTCACACATCGAGGGGCGGTCGGGTAGCCTCGTGGTTAAAGCGTTCACTCGTCACGCCGAAGACCCTGGTTCGATTCCCGACATGGGTAAAATGTGTGAAGCCTATTTCTGGTGTTCCCCGCCGTGATATTGCTGGAATATTGCTAAAAGCGGCGTAAAACCTCACTCACTCACTCACTCACACATCGAGCTAACATGCCGTGATACAACTTGAATACTGTTCAAAGCGGCGCTAAACCCAACTGACTGACAGACTCACTCACTCACTCACTCACTCACTCACTCACTCACTCACTCGGGGATGTAGGTGAACACGCATAAGAGAACGTGAGTTTGTGATGTAAACCTGGTGCTGTGACGTTTGGCATTCTGGATTGGTGTCTTGTTTCAGGTGGAAGTGGGCGGGAATATTTGTATTACCTGCGATATTCACTTCCGGTGTTCAAGGGTGAATGCCAAAGTGTGGCCGCATTGAAACATTGCTCTAGATACAGACCACTTTCAAAGTTTTATGTTGAGGCGGATGTCTTAAAGAGCTTCGTCAGGAAATTATGACCGAGAACATTTTTTTAGGCCGTTGTTAAACTGATGTTTTAATGGGACACCTAATAAAATCGTCTTCAATCTATGGTTACTTGGCGATTAAGTCTAGTGCGCGTGGTGGGTGTTCGCTCGAGTAACGCGGCATGGTAACACTATGGTAACTAGCGAGGCATTGTCCACCAATATGGGTACATGTTAAAGGTAGCTTTCGAGCAGCAGTTTCAAAAAACGTCTAGAGTGTTGGCGTGTGAAAAAATGCACGGGGCACTTCAATGTTTACTCAATCCGTTGTTTGTTTTGTGAGATACGTTTAATCAAGAAGTTGCGTTGCTGACTTCTTTAAAATAGCATAAGTTGACATGGATTCCGCGCTCCGTCGCTGTGGAGAGTTTCCACAGAAAGAACAAATATTTTACATATTTTACTTATATTTGATCCAAATTGAAGCGACAAAGCCGAGTTGTACGATTCCGACAATATCAGAAGCATGTGTGTATTGATCACTATCGATTAGTGATGATACAAGTTGTTGGCGAAAAGGTGAACGTAACCTGCCCTGTCGGTGGCACGCGTGATAAATACAAGCAAAGGGAAGTCAAGTATTCAAAAAAAGGAAATACATCGGACGTAATTTTTGTCAAGAATGCTGCAAATTTGGAATGTTCTTCACATTTTGAAAGCCTCACCAAAGCACAGATTGATGTAACCCTTTTGAGCTTGAGTCGCAAGACGCTCTTTAAAATATCGAAATGTATCTCAAAAGTTGTGAAATGAAGATAGCAAAGGCTGAACTGCTGGACACAAGACAGCAAGGGGAGTACAATTGTGACCATGGTGGGATGCCTCTATTACTTGCCCAAATGTCTTATCCCCGAATTTCACATCGACCCTATTTATATATAATCAAGCATTTTAAACGTTAAGTTCCTTGTACACTTACTGATGACATTTGCTTTTGTTTGGGCCACATTGTCCTGAACCTCAGAAGATTTTGTGAGCATTAAGTTCGTGGCTTTCTGACATTGCCAAACATCTAGCAAACCCTTTGATTTTTTTAGAATCAACATGGTAATACTCCCACTTGTCTCCAAAAACATTCTCTTTATACGTCGATTACGGATCTTTGGAACCCGATTCAAACCTGGAATGGAGATGTCTTCAGGTTTTAGAGTCAAGCCAAATGTTGATAGTACTGATGCCTGGTTTTGACATATTTCTTTCTCAATTTGGATCCTGACCTTATATTTAGCATTAATTTGCATTATTTGATATTTCACTTATTCCAAGTTCTTTGATCAAAATGCATTCTGTTTGACGGGGGTGCTTTAACTTTATTGCCGACACAAATCAGAGTTGTTTCTCCAAATCCCTCACAGAATCCCTCACATCTACTGTAATTGAGCCGGAGGTTTTATGTCTTGAAGTAATAACATGTCCATTTACAATGCGCCAGATCCAATTCACGAAGTGGATGCTCAAGACGCTACGTTATTATTATTCCAGTTGTTGGCTCAGGATGCACTCACATCTCATTCTCATCTCCCTGGTGAGTATACAATCCAAGCTGCCGTTTGAGGTGCTAGAATAAATCCGGGAAACACCATAGTTGGTCAGGGTATCCACCATATCGTCATAAACTTATCCTATTGTAAATGCGTCAAACATCAAAACTACAGCTCCAGGACCAAGCCAGCGTTATCCGTGAAGAACCGAGTTAGATTTGGTCTTCAGCAACCCATGCATGCCGTAAGAGGCGACTAACGGGATCGCGTGGTCAGCGAATCCCAATTGCGTGGATCGATGCTCATGATGTCAATCACTGGATTGTCTGGTTCAGACTCGATTATTTACAGACCGTCGTCATATAGATAAAATATTGCTGAGTGTGGCGTTAAACAACAAACAAAATAAACAAATATATATGTGGAACATCAAAAGCATTCGTTCGTCATGCCGAAGCCCGGTTCGATTCCCCACATAGGTACACTGAACCTCATTTATGGTGACCCCTGTCGTGATATTGATGGAATACTGGTTATTGCGGCGTAAAACCATTCTCACTCACCCACTGAATCTAGGCTGTGCTAGATATGTGAACGGTGCGAGCGTCGAATGAGATTAAATACGTATGCCAAGAGGTAAACCCCAGTAAGCTTCACGAAGGCGGTACGCAGTAGATTAAAGTATGTCCGAAAAGGTGCGCCATGCCTGAGAGTCCCTATAAGATCCCCCCACCCCCACCCCATCCCCTACCCACACCCCAACCCGTTACAGGGAGGGACTTATCACGCTCACCATTGGGCGTCTATTCAAGAACAAACACTGTAAATTCGGACAGTTCCTGTGAAATGGACGGATTGTTTTTGTTTAGTATTTATGTATCATGATCATGTATTAATGTTCTTTGTAAATATGATGACGTTCCTTAAGGTACCTGTCCGGTAAGAACGGTCTCCGGACTAACGAGGTGTCAGTATTTGTATTTTTTGACAAATTCCTCATAAAGATAATCCAAAAGTCGACCCAAACGGTATTCTTCCGAAAAGCGGTTCCCGACACACTTGACTTGCCTTTGCATGTGTTTGTGAGGTGCCACCGGTGGGGCAGGATGCGCACACCTTTTCACACCAGGTATCATTTTTGTTTTGTCGATTTTATACTACAGAGAACAGTCAGCCATCGTTGCCTTCTATGCATGGAAATGGCCGATTGCTGGGTATCAACTCGTTCCGACTTCACGAAGACTACGGTTAAGAGTTAGCAAAAAGTAACGAAAGCAAAATTACAGATGTATCATTCGAAACCGGCGGCTGACATTGTCTTTGACAGTTCTCCCAGTTGGTTCCAACGTAATTTCAGATAATGTCTCGAGGCTCTCTGGTCATTCACATAAAGATTAGTTGGACAAACATGTGAGCTGGATGCAGTGTTAATGTGAGGGTAATGCGTGTCACCAAACATTCGCTTACCGTAAACAGGCCGCCTGGAGTAGCGGGGAAAGGGAACGTAAAACCCGTAGACAGTGGTCAGAACAGCAAACAGGACACACAGCCAACGCTGTATGCTCACCAGCATATCTGAAACACAGCAGCGAGAATAGTGGTAATGACTGCATAGGCTCACCTGCATATCTGAAACTCAGAATCAAAGCGATAGGTGAGAATAGTGGCGTAGATGCTTATCTGAAAAAACTCGACCCCCCCCAAAAAAAATGAAGAAAAAAAAGAGAAAAAAAAAAGGGTATGAGTGAGAATAGCGGATATGACGCTCGACTGAAAGGCAAAACATATAAACGGCCAGGGAAATGAATGAATACACTTGAAAATTGGATTTGACAAAAAATTACAAACGTTTTGAAAACATCACTAGGCTGAAACCACTCGCCGACTCACTGCAAACTTAAGGTATTATGGTTCCGCATCATATACATCACCATCGAATAGCCATATTTGTTTGTTTCATGTTTAGCCACCATCACACATGTGCCTATACTTTCTTTTGCCAGACAGTTTATATGAGGGCAGTGAATAGGTCCTGATGTTGTAGTGCTTATCTAAAACCTATGGTATATGGTTGGAACATGGATATAAATGAATATGATGCATTGCTTATGAGCATTTTTTTAAAACAATGGATATAATGTTCACAAACATAGAACATCGAATCTAAAACTGGATGTAAAGATCTTCAGAATATCCTGAACAATGATCTCGGAGCAAGATAAAATACATGTGTTTCGAAATGGTCCTCTAGTGGTGTTACAAGAAGAGATGATGACCTTGATAATTGACCTTGAAAACATACAAGAGTTCACAAGCATGAGTAATTTGGGTTCCGTGATGTGTAGCGGCCTAATCACGACCACATCACCACCACATCGTAACATCACGACATCATGGCTTGCAAGGCGACGAGAACACTGTTTTTAGTGTGAACTTTAACAACTCCATTGACACACCCGGGCACAGATCAACAATACTATCGCTGTGACCACACAATACACAATCAGAACCATGGTCGAACCGGATATTCTTATGGACTAAGATCACCAAAGATCTATCCTTACTGAACAGCCATTGTAGCCATACGATACACAATCATAAGCATGCCCAGGGGCGTAATGTAATTATATACTATCGTGAGACATGTATATCCAGCCTAGTTTATTTTCACTCATTTTCTGACCGCCTCCGTGGTCTAGTGGTAGAGCGTCCGCCCGGAGAGCGGAAGGTCCGGGGTTCGATCCCCGGCCGCGTCATACCAAAAGATGGTACTTGTTGTTACCCTGTCTGGCGCTCGGCATTAAAGGGCTAAAACAAGGACTGGTCGGCTCGGAGTCAGTATACTGTGTCTGAGTGGGGTATTCATGTTAAACTGAGGCATGGTATCTCAGTGTGCTAGAACTATAAATCGGCATGAGTCCGGACTAGTACAAGCAGCCACACACACACACACACACACCAACGTGCATGCCCGTCGCTATATAAGTGCAATAATCTTGTACGCGACGTTAAACCCAATTTCACAACACCTCACCTCTTCTTAATAACGGTGTCCTCATACCCTCTATGAATCAGTATCGTCATTATACTTCCATGTCTCCCCACTCCATCCCCAAATCTGTCGTACCCTGTTTCCACCCAGAACCTCCCTCCATTCAGCTCTTGCTCGTGGTATTACATACCCGTTATTGGACGTTTCTCAATACGCTATTGCCTCGGGCTGATGAAGCCATATGAGTGTCGATTTTTCACATAATTGACACATCAAACTTGCTATTTTTTCCACTTCAAACAGAATTGAGTTTTGTTTTGAGTCCTAATTGAATAGAGGAAATTGTTTTATTGGTGAAACGACCCGCAATAGACGCTCGGAACTGGCCGGGAAGCTATTTTCAGAACGTCGATGAAGAGTATACAATCGGTCCGTCCGTTGTAGCTATATATAGATATAAACGCTGATGAGACTAAAATTTTCTTCATTCAGATAATATTTACTATCACTTGACCCATCTTTACGGTTTATGTTGGCAATCGATGATTTCTTGTGCTCCTCTGACGTGAAAGTGCTCCGGGCAAGGAGTACTGCCTTGACGTGTCGCTAGGTGTCGCTACGGGACTGTGACGTCACAGCGCGAGGACGGACGGCGTCAGCACGCGCTCGTTCCGCCAGCAGTTGACAGCAAGCAGACGACAGGAAATGATCAGTAATAGGCAATAAATGTATGGATTTCAAACATATACAAATTGAGCTCAATAGAGTTTACCAACAGATAAGAATAGTTTGGGTCGATGGCGAGCTGAGAGATAGCCAATATTGACTAAGAGAACGGAAATGTAAGAAAGAGTGTACGAGTAAAACGGCTCTCTATTCTGAGAAGTCGATCGCTGAATAGCTGAACTTAACAACGATTGTGATTGTTCGTAAGGACTTCCAAGTCTAAATCTTAACGTCAATTAACCTTGTCATTGCAGTGTTTTCTTAAAGAAACTTAGAGTTCTTTGTATCTGCACTTTATTGGCATAAAAATGACACTATTGAGTAATTTCAAGCATATTCCTTGAGTTGTACTCATGTGTGTCACTTTCAGCTCAAGATGTTTGACATTCACTTATGAAATTAACTTTTACACTAAGCGGTTTTATTGATGGCGATAATAATAAAGGTATTTAAATGGTGATATTTTGCACCTACGTCTCAAAGTTTACATCGCCATTAAACCAAAGGCGCCGTATCAGAAGAACGAAAAAAACGTTACCGTAGTACGAGCGTGGGCTTATTTCAGTACGTGCATGTTTAAAGCCCACGTGTATTAAATGGCATAACGTGTACTTTGACTTCCTTGAAGGACAAAACGTGATTAATCTATAATGAAACATTGATTAGATATGCCGTTTTAATGGTTTATCACAAGTGTAAAGTAATAACGCCCAAAAGAATAAAATAATCCCTTTCCATACAATAAAGATGGATTCTTTATATGAAGAGGTGTATCAACTTCAAACTGGTTCATTAAACGTCAATATTTTAACAGATATATGATCTGATGTGGTGATGCCCTGGTATGTCCTTCAACACGATCACGCTGACAATCTGTTGGCGCGTCCTTGGGCGAGGTCAAGGTCATATGCCTGTATCTCTCGTAAACGAGCTATAAGGTCGTGTCATATTTCTGTATTAAATATTGAATAAGGGTGTTTTTTCATTCCAGTCACTTGGAAGTTTCAGACAGACCTTGACCTCTTTCTGTGAAGGCACATGCGCGACTATGCTTGTCGTAAGAGGTGACTAACGGGATCGGGTGGTCAGGCTCGCTGACTTGGTTGATGCATGTCATCGATCCGAATAGGGTGGATTGATGCTCATGATATCAATCACTGGATTGCCCGGTCCAGACTCAATTATTTACAGACAGCCGTCATACAGCTGGAATATTGCTGAGTGCGGCGTTAAACAACCAACAAGCAAGCAAAGTAAGACACGTGCACTGATTTAGCAATGATTAAGTCATTGAATCTTACGAGAGCCTTGCAAAGTTGACCTACTTTAGAAGAGATAAAAGTGCTTTGCTATTGGCGGTGATCGTACACGTGCACTGATCTAGCAATGATTAAGTCATTGAATCTTACGAGAGCCTTGCAAAGTTGACCTACTTTAGAAGAGATAAAAGTGCTTTGCTATTGGCGGTGATCGTACACGTGCACTGATCTAGCAATGATTAAGTCATTGAATCTTACGAGAGCCTTGCAAAGTTGACCTACTTTAGAAGAGATAAAAGTGCTTTGCTATTGGCGGTGATCGTACACGTGCACTGATCTAGCAATGATTAAGTCATTGAATCTTACGAGAGCCTTGCAAAGTTGACCTATTTAGAAGAGATAAAAGTGCTTTGCTATTGGCGGTGATCGTACACGTGCACTGATCTAGCAATGATTAAGTCATTGAATCTTACGAGAGCCTTGTAAAGTTGACCTACTTCAGAAGAAATAAAAGTGTTTTGCTATTGGCGGTGATCGTCCACGTGCACTAATCTAGCAATGATTAATTCATTGAATCTTACGAGAGCCTTGCAAAGTTGACCTACTTCAGAAGAGATAAGAGTGCTCGTTCAGAATATGTAAAAGATGAGTGAGTGAGTTGGGTTTAACGCCGCTTTGAACAGTATTCCAGTTATGTCACGGCGTGTCAGCTTGACGTGGGAGGAAAGTTCCGAGTGATGCATGTCTCAGACGTTTATCCTTTTTAAGAATCAATATAGTGAGTGAGTGAGTGAGTGAGTGAGTGAGTGAGTGAGTTAAATGTTCAACGCCACATCGGCATTATTTCAGCTATATAGTGACATCGAATGTGTGAATAAGACTTCGGGCTGTCCTCCCACATTAAGCTGACACGCCGTGATATAACTGGAATATGTTCAAAGCGGCGTTGAACCCAGCTCACTCACTCACTCACTTAAAATTTCAGCATCTTTTCAACACGAGCTTTGCCAAACTGTCATCTTTGGATATTAATGATTCATCGAAAAGTCATCGCGATATATTGTGCCACTATACCAGTATCGTATCGGCAGCTCATATAAAATTGGATTTGACCCCAAAAATTACAAACGTTATGAAAACAGTCGCCGAAACACTGCAAACTCTTGGTCCAAAACATCTAAGATACCAGTATCAAATACATCACCAGCGACTAACCATTTTCTTGTTTGTTTCAGTTTTAGTCACATGCGTGTGTGTATTCTTTCTTTGTTTACTATTTTCTGCTGACATGTACAAGGAGTCACAAGGAGTCACCGGGCAAGTGAGTTGTCATGTGACGTGTTTCGTATGGCGATCTTACTATCGAGATATACATCGTGTCACAACGAAGGGCAGCGTTGCAACGCTAGTTATTTACACAAATATGCCATGTAGACGAAGGAGATCAGAACACTTTGCAAATTGAGAAACAGGCGAAACAAACACGATTTGCACGTGAAATAATAAATAATACTTAATGATGAATACAAATAAAACGATGTAATCTTTAAAATCAAGCCATCTAAATATAAATGAGTTTTGTACTTCCGGGCCGATCT